CAGTTTGTCCCACCACATGGGTATTCCTGAATAAATATGGAAAGGTCAGGATCTCACCATCAGAACATTGACTATTCCTCCCTCTCCTGTCCGCGCACCTCCCATCTTGTACCATCACTTATATACAGAGGGTGCCCAAAAATTGTATGCACATTTTAAGAAAGGAAAAAACTATTAAAATTGTAATACTCAATACATACCAATAGTGAAAGATGAATACAAGTCATATGTATACATTTTTGGCACCCCCATATTTGCTTACAATCATTTGAATTCCCACCACACTTGCCCTGTTTCCTTGTCGCAAGTCTCCTGCCACCTCTTTCTTTAGCTGCTCTGTCCTCTTTTATCCACACCGCGCTCCAATTCAGTGCTCCCTTTTCTGTTTGAGAGAATGAGCCATCTCACCGCCAACCTCTCTTTCTTGTCCTTAGTCCTATTGCAAACAAACAGCCAAGCTGCACAAATGTCCCCGGTTCTGTAGTGTACACACACCCCACAGAAATACTTCATTCAAATGCATGGGATTTTTTTTTTTTCTGAAACCAGGCCAGTTACTCAGTGTTCACCATTATGGGCAGATACTTGATGCAAAGAGAAAAAAAGAAAAAAAAAAAGAAAAATGACAATGGAAAACAATGACAAGAGAAACTAACCAATCAGTATAATGTGTTTTCTCTCTGTGTACAATCAGCTCCAGCTGTAGGCCCTTTATCTTGAGAGTTCATAGGATAATGCACACACATAATTAACCCAAATAAACCCACTTTTGTGAAAAACATTTTGAAGACTTCAGCACAAAAGAACACTTTTTGGTCCAGATCCTGTACTATTCTGAATTTTTAAAAAGACCACACAGAAGCCTCATCAACAGTACCCTAATTAAACTAATCAGTTCACAGATGTTTACAGGAAAATGCTCAGCGAAAAATTTCACCAAGAATTTCTGTTTCCTGGGAAGAGAGATGGATGATGGTAATAGTAATAGTAATAAGAGCTAAGATTAATAAGTAGCTTAATGTGCCTACAGCTTTATGTAGATTAATACATTTAAATGAATAACCCTTTGACACAGTTATGAGTACCATACCTATTTCACAAATGTCACACCTGAGACTAAGAGGGTTAAATAAGTCTCTCAAGGTCACACCGCTAAGGCAGTACCAGGAGCAGGACTCAGGTCCTGGTCTGCCTGACTCAAAAGCATGCGCTTTGAATGACTACATCCTCTTCCAATGTCATACCACTTGCTCCATGACTAAACTCTTTGTAAAATTTCCAACACTTCCTAGTCACCAAACAAAAACAGACTGAACTACCACTATTTTAAACTTCTATTATTCCCCCCAATATTCTCTCTTTCCCCGCTCCTTACCGCCACCCTTTTCTCAACTTCTGCTTTCTGGTCTAAAGATTTTCCTGGTGGTCTAAGAGTCTGTTATCAGATACATTCTCAAAAAACGTGCTTGAAGGAGACATTTTCTAAATCGTTTCACTGCCCACCTTAGAAATGGCAAAAGTGCAGTTTAATAAGCACTGGCCATCGCTTCTCAGCCTTTTGGCTAAGATCACGTGTAATAAGCACTGGCCACATCTCTCTTCACTGATAACCTAATGAGCTGTGTGCTTTCTGTACCCTGGGGAGAGAGGTTATGAGTCCTTGTCAGAAATAGAGCTTCTGTGCCACTTGTAATCCAATCCAGTTGGTTTCTAGCCTTTGGGGTCTTTATCCTTTGACTTGTCATCTCTCTATTAATGCAACACATTCCTTTTTTCTTTTCTTTTTTTGTTTTTTTTCCCCTCCAATATAGGTGTTTCTGGGCCCATGGTCACAATATTCAGAGTCACTTTAGTCAATCAATCTTTTGAGAGAAAACACCCACTCCCATACACGTTTTCGACCTTTGTATTGGAGCATTTGTAAATATTCATTATCTAGCTACAAGTGGCATTGCCCTAACATAAGTGATTAATCAAATACATAAAAAGGTTTTGAAGAGAAAGCTATAACAAGCTGTGTTCCATTTTACGTATTTATTTTTTAACTATGTCAGTGTATTTGTATGATGCAATACACTGTCACCACTGGATTAAGCAAGAAGTGGAATGATTAATCGGGCTTATATAACACTTTGGAATTTATGTAACTTCTATATGTGAACTTGGAAGGAGACTCTATTCTCTTAAAGGGAGAAAGAATAGATGATGTAAGCCTTGGATTTCAGTGAACCAACACCAAGGGCAGCCTCATTTTCCTCTTTTCATGAGGGTTGTAATCCAACTGATGACTTTGCAATTTGGAGGCTGTGTGACCACTTTTTTGCACATTGACTTCTTTATACATCAGTTTTTCTCATCGGAGATAAGCCCAATTATTGATGTTTGCCTGATGCAGCTATAACCAGGATCAGTTATATGATTTGTGTCAAAATATATACATAATACTCCAAAAATATATGACATGTAGGTGTTAAATAAATGTTAGCTCTTATTATTATTACTGTTATTTTTCTTATTCTCTGTCTATTATGAAAGGGCCACCACCATCACCTGTGTTTCCCATACTGACAATCCCTTTATGTTCTCATTTTCTGCATGGGTCTATCCTTTCAATTTATTCTATAAATAACTGTGTCCTTAGAATGTATTAGAATGTGAGTTTCAGAAGGGCCAGGACCTTGTATATCCTGAAGAAGCAATATAGATGAGTGATTAAAAGTGTGGTCTCTGGAGACAAACTACCTGGCTTTAATTCCGCCTCTACCACTTATTAGATCAAAGACAAGTTTCTTAACCTCTTGGAGACATGCTTTTCTCACCTGTCAAATAAAGGTAATTATAACAGCTACCTCACAGGTTGTTGTGAAGTTTGATTGTGTTACTATATAAAGTGATTTAGAATAGTGCCGGACATGTAATACAGGCTATATAAATGTCTGCTATGATTATGATTATCATTCTTATCATTTATCACAATATCTCTAATACATAGAACAGTTACTGACGTATAATAGGTATGCAACAAACATTTCATCAATGAGTGAACAAGTGCTAGCTATTGGAAGTCAAAAAGAATTTAAGAGAATGTCACTTGTCTAGAAAAGAACTGTAGAAATTGGTATAGAGGCTCACAGCTTAACAGAGAGTTCACAGGCAGCATTCATACATATCAGTCAGGTTCAAGTCCCTCCAGTTTCAGGGTTCCTAGCTTGGGCTACACCACTGAGGGTTAGCTGGCACATAGGATTTATATAACAACATGAGCCAAAAAAAATAAAAATAAAAAAAGACACTGTTGCAAGTTATTATATGATTAAAGTGCTAATTAGATAGTACAGAGAATATGCAGGGGTCCAATCTAATACTCTTGGCATATTTATTTTAATTCTACATCCTTGCAACAGAAACTAACTACGGAATCACTCTATAAAAAAATAATAGCCAAATAAGGATGACCTAGGTATTTAAAATACTTCCTGAATAGTTTTAAACCATTTAAGAATAGTGTTGCCAAGATGCACTGCAGTGCCACTGCCTTAGGTGATCGCCCTTGTGTCACAGACTTTACTGTCCTATTAAGAAAGAGGAATTATGCTGAGTGAAGTAATCAGACAGAGAAAGACAAGTACCATATGATCTCACTTATACATGGAATCTAAAAAACAGAATAAACACACAAACAAAACAGAAACAAGCTGATAGATCCAGAGAACAAACTGATGGTTGCCAGATGGAAGGGGGATTTCAGGGCAGAAGAGTGATCAAGATAAAAAGGTTAAGAAGTACAAATTGGTAGTTACAAAATAGTCATAGGACGTAAAGCACAGAATAAGGAATATAGTCAGTAATATTGTAATAACTATGTATGGTGTCAGATGGGTACTAGACTTATCAGGGGGATCACTTTGTAAGTTCTATAAATGTCTAACCACTATTCTGTAAACCTGAAACAAATATAACATTGAATGTCAACTGTAACTGAAAAAATATTTTTAATTGTTTACTCAAATAAAACGAGAAGTTGCTGTTCAAGCCTGTGACACTAGGATACCCTTGAATGTGCTTACTTGCAAAGGCCCATGTTCCAACATTAGCACCCTTCCCTTAGAAAATAGACTCAGCTTAAGTGACATTTTAATGGAAACAATTTTTAAAGGGAGAAAAACCAAGTTTGGTGAAGCGGTCGGAAAATGGGAGCTCTCATACAGCTGTGGTTTAAGAGAAAACTTGTTTGTATTTCCAGAGGGCATATTGGGAATAGATATCAGAAACCTTATAGTATTCATATAATTTGGTCCAGCAATTTTACTTGTATAATTTATCCTGCAGAAATCATCAAAGTTGTGCACAAATACAGAAAAAGAAAAATGTTTACTGCAACGTTATTTACAGTAGAAAATAGAAGCAAGCTAAACAGGCTTCAGGAAGAGATTTGTTAAATCCGTATGTTATACCCAGGCAACACAGTGCCCTGTAGAAAACAAAAGTCACATTGTTGAAGTACATTCAAGATATGGACAAATGGTCATCTAGATTTAAAAAGCAGAATGAAAAACAATGTGTAAAATATAGTCAGCATTGTTTAAAGAAATATATCTGAATAGGGAGATTATGGATGATTTTTATTGTCTTCTTATAGTTTAGTTCAATGAATATGTATAACTTTTGTAATCACAAAAACCGTAGCATAATAAGAAAGACATTTGACCACTCCTTCCCTCTTTCCACAAATATTGTTTTGCTTGTTATTATAATATGTTGTTTGCTCATAGAAAAAGGCAGAAGTAACCTTGTTTTTTAGCATCAACAATTGTACCTTACCTGCTTTGGCTCATGCCATGAATCCATCTGTTCTGTCAAAGTATGATATAGGTGCTGGACTGTCATTATTGCAATTTAACCTTTAAATAAGATCATAATTCTGTATATCTTCTTGCCTGAGTATTTCTCTTCCCTTGCATAGATAGAACTCTAATATTGATGTTTTTTCCCTCTTTAAGGTAAACAACTACAGTTTAGAAGAAGTAACACATGAAGAGGCGGTAGCCATATTGAAGAACACGTCAGATGTAGTTTATCTAAAAGTTGGCAAACCCACCACCATTTATATGACTGATCCTTATGGCCCACCTGATATTACTCACTGTAAGTACCACACTCAGTGCCATCCTCGAACATCATGCCAGGTTTGCAAAACTGGAACACTACAAAACTTGGCAAAGCCCTATACTTGTGCCTTTGTGTTTGGTGTGGAAATACTTCAGAAGGGTCCTGTGCTTTACTCCCTGGTTGCATTGCAGGGTCTTACCTAGTGTTTTGAAGGTGAGACCTGACGAGTTGGCAGGGTCATGGCAATGGAAAGGCTTAATAATATTTGTTGTGGATAGTGTGGTTACAATCAATTAGGGACAACACATTTTTAAAGACTATTTTTTAAGCCCCTAAAGCATGATAGCTCTCTCTTCCTAGTTCAAATCTATATAGTAGCAGAAGAGAAAAGAGAAGCTGACAAAATAGACCCAAGATAGCATTCTGCCTCTTCCTGGGGGAGTAGATCTTGCACTTGAATGGAGAAATTATGATCTCTAACCACCATCATTATAGCTCTTAACCTTTATCTGAATTTATGTTGGTAGGGAAGCCAGAGAAAACTGTCAGTCACTATGGCGCTAGAGATGGTTTGGAGGTGAGGGTTTCTAGGGTAAAAACTAACTGTAAGACGCTGTGCTGTTACATACGCCCCCATGTTTTCTCCTCTTCTTAACAGGTCAGCAAGAACTTTATCTAAGGCCCTGTCTTTGCAGACTAGATTTAGAAGCAATTCGCTTTTTTGATGCAAGTTTAAGGAATAGTTTTGTTGACATCAGTAAGTTTGTTCGTTCTGAAATTCTGAGGTTGGGAACTCAGAATGTCTTCAGAACCTGCCATTAATTAGCCCTAGAGACTTAAGCAAGTCATTTAACTCCTCTTAGATGTAGATGTTCCTCTTGAGAGAAACTTAAAGGTTGAATAATTTGTTACCTGCTCATTACACTAGCTATTGCTTTTCTTAATGATGATTCTAAAATGACTTGCTCCAAAATATGTCTTTTTTTTTTTTTTCAAGCAGGCAGTAAGGTGAGATCACCCTTATCTTAGGATATGAAAGAGTTTGAACTTCCCAAGTTTTTCGAACTGGATGAATTTAGAAAGATCAGCCTGAGGTCCTGTGAGCCCCCTCATGAAGGGCATATAAGGTGAAAGTCAAAGAGAAAAAAGGGAGCAAACACAACTGGCTTTCAATTCAAGAAATATGTATTGAGTAACTTCAATATGTGCAAGACACCTTGTAAGGTAATAGGTGGGATACAGAGGACATGCAATCATGGCCTCCATTGGAAGGAAGGCTAATTCAGATAAATAAATAGCAGCGATATGTGGCAAAATAAGAGGGATGTCTATGCCAGGGGAAGGGTAAAAATCAAAGTCCTTTAGACACTCAAAGGAAGGGGATATCATCTGTCTTTAGAAGATCAAAAAATCTTTATGCAGAAGGTGGCATTTGAATTTTATCTTGAAGAATGTGTGAGATTTCCATATCAGAGATGGGATAGGAGACAGAAATCGTAGTAGTCGGTACAGTGCAGCAAAGGTAGAGATGTTGGCAAGAACAGGCTTTGTTTGAAGACCATAGGCCATGTGTAAGGGGGATTCGAAATGGGCGAATCTTGTAAGAATGGTGAAAGGGAAAGTTAATATTCAACACAATAGTGGTATTGGAGAACATTTAAGCAAAAGGACTGCAGGATCAGAGCTGGATTTCTCAATGTATAAATTGGGGGTTGGGGGCAGGAGACCCAGTTAGAAGGTGTTTTCAGTCTCCTAAAAGGGAGGTGAGGTAGAGTAGAGGAATAGAAAAGAAAGGCCTGAGTTCTTAGCCTTTCAGGGATGAGAGTAGAACATATTTTTGGATTAAAGTGTTATACAAGAACTTGTTCCTAGGAACCTTCTGCTTTTGATGGTTGGATATTAATTATGTGAAAAGAACGTGAGCTCTGCAATTAGAAAGCTAACATTTTTATTTCAATAGAAAATTAATCATCATTCTGAAAAAGTATGTGCTGAGTCTTTCCTCCAATTCCTCTCTTCACCTAATTATACTAACAGGGCTTACAGATACAACTATTATTACATCTCTCCAGCCGTAAAGGTCACTCTGTGCCTGTACATATTGAACGCAAACAAACAGCAACTCCCCCCCTCTGGGAGAACAAGAAAATCCTGGGCATGTAGCAAAGCCTTTCTGTTTTTAATGGGACTGTAGCATGACACATTGAAGCACCCACATAACAGGTTTCTTTTCTTCTCTTTTCTTTTTTCACCCCTTAGCTTATTCTCCACCGATGGAAAACCATCTACTTTCTGGCAACAATGGCACTTTAGAATATAAAACCTCCCTGCCGCCCATCTCTCCAGGAAGGTACTCACCAATTCCAAAGCACATGCTTGTTGAAGATGATTACACCAGGTCAGATATGCTTGTTGGTTAATTGGATTTGTGACCATTGCCAGGAGGAAATTGCATTTGTCTAAGGTGTCAGCTGTTGCTTTGAGGCTGAGACTTTTGAGCACCATTCAAACTTTGTATTAGAGTCTTGTTTCCAGTGGAAATCTGCAAATACTTGAAAATATGTGTCATGGTTCTCTGTTAGGAAGCAGGATCACAATTTTTTTTGTGGAGAAATAGTAACATATACTTATCCATCACTTTGCAATTTTTTAAGACTTTCAATATCTCACCCAATTTGAGCTTTATAGCTGTATTGTAGTATTATTATTTGAGGGGAGAAGGTGGTCTTGAGGTTCAAAAAGAAGGAATTAACACACCAATATTACCTATTTGGTAAATGGAAGAGTCAGGATTGAAACTCTTGTCTTTTGTCTCTAAATTCTAGTTCTTGCCACCAATAAACCACCCATAATTCAGTGGAATTGGGAAGTCAGTCAAACCCCACCACCCCTGTACAATAACTGCAAGGGGAAAAGAAAGGAATGAAATTAACTACAAATGGCTTGAATTTATTATATCCTATTTATCCCAAAAGGGAACAGGGCAGGGGTTTAGGACAGAGCACAGAATCACATTGCTAACCCCACAAAGTAAAACCACGTATTTAGCCAGCACGCCTCTGAAAAAGTCAGGTCTGGCTTTTTCACAGAGAAGATCAATTTAGTTTACTTAATCATCACAACTAAGGATTCAATAAATGTTGGCTAATTAATAAATTAATGAATGAATGGATGGATCAATATCAAGAAATGTACATTTTTTCTTTTTTATCTTTAAGTGTTTTTCCCCCCCAAAGTAATATGTGCTCATTGCATTTTGTGAAACAACACAAAGATATTCAAGAAACAAAACTCTCCCCCAAACTCTCTCCAAGACACCAGTCTTGAGGTTCCCAATGTGACATTCTGGCATGAACTTTTCATCCCCTTCTCCATGTTCACACAAAACTGTACAAATGCATACTTAGATATAGGTGGGACTCAGCAATGGTTTTACAAAATAAGTTTGTCTTTTACACATTGCTCTAAACTTGCTTTTCTCAGTGAGCAATACTTTTACCTAAAATGAGATTACATATTGATAGGCACACATTTTTTTCTGAATGTGTTTGTGTGTAAAAATCCTAGAGATGAACCCTTTTGATTTTATATCCTGACTGTCTAATGAAGTTATTTGTCAGCCTTTAAAAAAGTAGAGGAGGCTACCGGCCTTTTAATTTCCTTACTGGTACCCATGCATGCTTTGATCTTTTCATTCCTTTGCTTTTTCTTTTTAAATGATTAAGCATTTTTCATTTATCGTGCAATTTCAGGTTTGCTGATGTAGCTTGTTATATTTTTAGCCGATGAATGGGGTGTTGAGATGCTGAGAATGTGCATCTGTGGTGTAAATCAAATATAAACTTACCCCTGTGCTGGAACGTCTAATCGCTATGTTCTTAATTGAAATTAGGGCGATGGCCACAGCAAAGAAATCCCCATGGCTCTCTAAAAAATTGTGTAAACACAGGCATCTCTATTCTCCTAATTGATGATCTATTTGCTCTTATTCTATCTCTAATATTTAATATGATTTTAATCCAAAAATATTTGATCTTACTAGGCCCCATAGTGAATTAACACTTATTAATAAATCCCCTTCATAATCCACATCCTTTGCTAACTATTTTATATACACTATCCATTTAATCCTCCCAAAAACACAGAAAGAAGGGCTTGCATCCGCATCTTAGAGATGTAGAAATTGAAACTCAGTGATGTTAAGGAACTTGCTTATGGTCACACAGCTTTTAAGTAGAAAAATTGGGTATCCAGCCAGCTTTAAAATCCTGGCTTGCAAGAGACATTTTAATTTTTTCATTTTAAAAATGAATAACAAGTCTCATAAAACTGCTCATTGTAGAAGTATGTGGCTAGAAAAGGACCTAAGAGTTTGGTAAGCTCTAAAGATAACTATATCCAGGTTATGACCTATTTCTACCACTAGCTGTGTGATGCTGGGCAAATCATTTACCCACTGTAGGCCTCAGTTTTTTCACCTGTGTAATAGGACTAGTAATCACATCTACTTCAACAGGTTGTTGTAATGATCAAATAAGATAATACATGCAAACAACTTATAACAGTGCCTAACACATAGGAATATTATTATCTATTTACTATAGCTATACTTATTCTAGTTTTTAATCCACCTAAGATATCACGGGGAATATTTTAGATGGTATCCCAGGAAGGGAGTCCATTTCTTTTTACAGTGATATGCCTCAGTATCTTCCTTCTTGCCCTGCCTCCTCCCTTACTTTATGGCAGAATAATCTCACCTATAGCTGCATAATATCTCCTGAATGGCTAGTGCCTGGCAAATTTGTGAAATAAATTATGTCAGTTTACACACAAACACACACACACACACACACACACACACACACACACACACACACACACACACACACACACACACACACACCCTTCCCGGTCCTCACCACTACTGTGACCTCTCACAGGTGTTCTGTGCCGTAGGTATTGCCCCAGAGGTATTTGTTCAGAGGCAAATTTGCTGCCTCATTCATAAATATTTATTCATACTTCCTGTTAGACAGTGGGCACTGCACTAGAAATGCAAAACTGAATGAGAAAGAAAACATCTCTCAGAACTGTCAAATTGGGACAAAAATATATTTAAACCAGTAGATCCCCAGTTGCCTGATCATGCAGAACCCCTCCATAAAGTTTTCCATAACACTTAATCTGTTACATTTTTTTTTAACCTGAGATTTTAGACTTTGGTGTCAAATATCATTTCTTTTGTGGTGATCAATGGCAGGTCCTTGTTTTATTATATCCTTCCTTAGAAAAATTAAAAGTTGGCAACTTTTCATCGGTCCTCACTTTTAAATGTAAACGGTCTAGAAAATCCCAACGTGAAGGAACTAATAACAAGCAAACAACATTAGATCATTCTATGAAGTCCTATCATATAGCCCTAGCAGAGTTCCCCAGCATCACAGGGGGCACTTAGCAAATATTTATAAGTGAATTTGAGCTTAACGTGAACATCACAGGAACAGCCTATGTCATCAGGGAAAGTTTTAAAGAGGAGTTAACTCTGGAGTTTGAGCTTGAAAAACGGTGTAGGCATTCGTCAGAGAGCCAAGAGATGCAAAAGGGCACCTGTGGTAGGGGATAGCACATGCATACTCAAGGAAGAATATGAAATAAAATAAAATGAAAGCTACGATTACAGTTTGAAATGTAAGGCTTATAAAGAAAAATGGTACCTACCTTTAAATTATCTTTATATTCCTATCCTTTCTCTCCTATGCAAACTAGTTGTAACATTACCTATACATAGAGTAGTTAAAACACCAAGATTACAACTATATACTATAAACACTAAGTGCTTTAATGTATATTATTGCTGCTATATTTTATATATATATATGTATATATATATATATAATGATATTCTTATTCTTAATTATTACAGATAACAAAAATGAGTTTAAGATATTCCTTCATATCATACAGCAAATAAGCAGCAGAATCAAAATTTGAATTCCAGTCGGTCTGTCTTCATTAGCCTCATCCCCACACCCCTACCCCCATCTCATACAGTCTCTTTCCATAGAGAAATGTTGGATTAAGAAGACCAGACTTGTGTCAGGAAACTGGGTTTTAATCTTGGTCCTACCGCTTACTACCTAGGTGACCCTGAACAAATTGTTTAATATCTCAGAATATTAACCTTCTCATCTACAAATTTGGGGTAAAGGGTCTTCTGATCTCCTCATGGAATTGTGAAGTTTCCATGTGATAATATGTGTGAAAGTTGTCATCTTTAGATGGCCATATAAAATTAATATATTAAAACTACTAAAGTATTAGTAGCTCATATTTGAGACCTACTTTGTATTTTCCTAAAATAGTAAATCAAGGGAATTAATTTCTAATGATGGGACTTAGGCTGATGGGAAACATTTCAGTGAAAATAGGAACCTTCAATAGCCTATAAAATCATATCAAATTAGCAGCCTTTGATTCCATATGCTCATAATATCTTACTCTGTTGTAAGAAATATTTCTCTATTTTCTTGATTCATATTCACTTTTGTTGGAAAATATTATAAGGATTTTTAAAAGAATTTTTATTATAGTAACTTAGCTGGATTTTTTTTAATCTCTTTCTTATTATTTAAGGAAGTGCATACCTGAGTAAACTAGGAAATTTTGTTTTTCCATTGATTTAAAGAAAGGGAGCATAAGCAAAAAGCCCTTGGGAAAATATTTCTTAATAGAAAGCCTACTGAGTCCCCTATAAATCAAAATCATTGTGATATAAACATTCTGGTCTTCGATTTTTGGAAAAGAAAGCTATTATAATGATGCTGAAATGGTTTTCTGAAAAAACACCCAATCCAGTGTTTTTTCTGTTCCTCTAAACTTTTTCACTTTTTTTTTTCTTTTTGGGTGGAATAAGAAGCTAACAATTACAAAAACTATAACCAGTCAATAATCATCAATGAGCAGTGCCCACTTTGTATGTTACCTACAGCTACAGATTCCACCTCTACTGGGCCAAGTCTTCCCTGGTCACTTACAAGAGATTCAAACCACATACTCTCACCATCTTGCTAAATATTCACAGGGTATACAAACAAAGCATCAGCACTAAAATCACACACACACACACACACACACACACACACACACACACACACACACACAAATCGGGGATGCAAAGTAAAACTTCTCTTTCAAGTTATGGGAACAATTTCCAAGTTATGAATGTGATAAATGTCATTATGAAAGTCAAGGACCTAAACTATAGCTGTGAATGATATATTTCCCAATGAAGGAAGCCAAGTTCACCTGGCCCTGAACTTAGGATACCCAGGTGTCTTTCTGACTGACTCTATATCATGTCCCCTCACATAATTTGCTTGATCAAAAAGCAAAAGC